TCCGTCTTGTAGAATCACGGTGGCGCCACCCAGCTGAATTTAATTTTGCAACATATTCGATTTTCCTACGGGAATGATATGTTTTTCCGATGAAAAAAGTAGCCTATGTCACTCTACAGCCATCGAACTATCCCCATACCAAAATCCATGCCATGCCGACGCTCTGTTGCGACGTGAAAGAAGGACAAACAAACAAACACACTTTCGCGTTAATAATATTAGTATGGATTTTGGGACTATTTAAAATAGCGTTGTTCGTAGTATATTGTATAAAGTTGTAAATATTTTGTTATTTTCTACAAGATGATTTTTTTTGCACAATGGCAAAGTATTTCTTCCGTTACTTCGGGAACCAGAAGAACCTTTGAAAACTCTCTTTTTATATGATGCTAATGAGTCACGACGCTTTTCAAATAGAATCCGGAAATATAAAGCATGCTTTCAAATGACGTCCTTCGGAGTTGACCGGGGAAATATTAATGCCAGGATTTTCGCCTACATTTACGGTGCAAGGACAAATTTATCATAGAATAGGTTCACTTTTTACAGTTGAAAACGAACAGCATCAATTTTTACAAGTATGTTTTATGGGTGACGAAGAAATTGAGGTAGACCTTCGCTGCCAATTTATCCAGGGAGTTGAGAGAGACAAAGTGTTCAAAATTCAAAGATTCTTGCATGAACGTAACATTTTAGTCAAAACATTTAAAACTGCTTTAGAAAACCTACCTGAAGAGGATTATAAGATGTCAGTCGTCATTCACGCAGATCAGACCCCTCGAGGAGAGCATGAAAGGCGCTACAATGCACCTTTGATAAACGAAATAGTAGCAGTAATTAGTGGTGATCAATTTTCTTCACGAGACATTGTCTTGCGAGCATGTGATGATACGTTGTAACGGGTAGCCGATACACACAAGATACATTTATGACGCTCTCCAATACACATTGATTTACTGTAAAGGACAAGAGGGTTATCATTTTCAACATGTATACGTGTTATATGCGGTAAAGGTCCTATTGATACATGCAAGCCCCTATTTATTAAGCTGGGTATATTAACAGTCCCTGGCATGTACATATTAGAAATATATATAAATTTGTCAAACAACATGCTGAGTTATTTAAGTCAGTTTGTGATATATATCCACGAAACAGTAGATATAGTAAACGGCTTGCTTAGACCATAAACCAAAAACTTCAGAAAGGTTGTTACTGTATGTGTGTAAAAATATTTAATAAAATTCCAAAGCACTTCAAACACGGCTCTATGATTCTCATGACCAAAAAGTTACGTGAATGGCTAATAAGAAAATGTTATTATAGTGTTAAGGATTTTCAAAATGATAATAATATGCATATTGATATATGATAGACGTAATTGCTGTGTACTATTTTATCAGACTTCTATTTTTGATTGAACGTATTTAAATTTTAATTATGATACTGATATAGTAAATTATGATATTTCGAATTATATAACTTACATTTAATAACTTGACATATTAGAATCGACTACCACCTATATTATTTGGTAATTTAAAAAAAGTGTGCATGCCGTATCTCATGGCTAAATAGGACTTTAAGCAACTTATTTTTATTGTAAAAATCACTTATCCTATTTATGGCAATTAAATAAATTTGAATTTGAAATTCCACTCGTTAACCCAAAGGAGCCTACTCCGAACAAAAAAGTATCATGTATGGATTTTTATGCGTATCATATGATGTTGCGAGAAAATGATTTTAACCTCTTAGACCGGTGTAGACAATTATTTCATCAATTTTTGGTAGACATGTATGTGAAGGTAGAAAGTGAATGTCTCCGTTATATATCTTTAAATCAAAAAAAGCTGCGCCTTGAGAATTATATACGTTTACAAGATGCAGTTTCTAGCGACGCCAATGTAAACCCCAGAGATTTAGGTAAAATGGTAATTCTGCCCTCATCATTCGTTAACAGTCCCCGCTACCTACATGAGTACACACAAGACGCATTCGCCTATGTACGAACTTACGGAAGACCTGATCTTTTTTGTTACTTTTACTTGCAATCCCACGTGGACAGAAATAACCGAGGAGCTAATGTCGGGCCAAAAAAAGTACTGACAGACACGATTTAGTTGCTAGAGTATTTAGATTAAAAGTACAAAAATTAATGTATGTAATTAACAAAGGGAAAATGTTCGGAGTTGTGCAGTGCTTCATGTATTCAATTAAATGGTAAAAAAAGAGGATTACCGCATACCCACATTATAATATGGCTTAAAGAGAAGTTGCGGCCCAGCCAGATAGACGACATAATAAGCGCCGAGATTCCGGATCCTGAGCAAGATAAAGAATTAAATAAAACCATCGTCCTAAATATGATTCACTGTCCATGTGGGCACGAAATTCAATATCGCCATGTATGAAAGAAGGAAAATGTACAAAGAAATTCCCTAAACAGCTATTAAAAGAAACAGTGAACAATGACAATTGCTACCCTTTATACAGACACAGAGCTCCCGAAGATGGTGGCATGAAAGTTACAATCGAATCTCGCTCTGGAGCGTTCGAAACCTTAGATAACAGCTGTATTGTCCCGTATTCGCCCATTCTATATAAAATATTTAATGCCCACATTGTAGAAACATGTAGCTCTGTTCGCGCAATCAAGTATATCTGTAAGTACATAAATAAAGGAAGAGACCAAGCAATATTTAATCTCAGGAGTGAAGGTGAGGCAAATCCCGTTAAAGAAGTAAAGACCTTTCAAGCTGGGCGTTATTTCAGCAGTAAGGAGGCAGCGTGGCGTCTCCTTGGCTTCCCTTTACAAGAAAGGCACCCAACAGTTACTCATCTTGCTGTGCACTTAGAAAATGGAGAGCGTGTATATTTCACCGAAAGAATTTCCAAGAAAGAATTGCATCACCGCCAAAAACTACACTAATAGCCTCCTTTCAATTTTGTCAATCCGACCCCTTTGCAAAAACGTTGTTATATTCTGAAGTCCCCCGCTATTATACTTGGAACACATCTAGGAAGGAGTGGAAACGCCGTATTCAAGGCACGCCTGTTGCAAATTAGCCCGGTGTAAAGTCATCAGATGCCCTTGGTCGTATGTATACCGTCAATGTAACTAATTTTGAATGTTTCTGTTTACGATTGCTGCTGCACTATGTTCGGGGTCCTACAGGATATAAAGACCTTAAAACTGTCACCGTTCAGGAATGCGCAACTTATAGAGAAGCATGTGAAACTCTGCATCTTTGAGAAAACGATAATCACTGGGATGAAACCATGGAGGAAGCTGTGCAGTGCCAGTCACCAGCCAAAATTAGGGATATTTTAAACAACTCTCATATCATCTTGCAGGCTATCTAATGCACATAAATTATGGGACAAATATAAAGAGTACATGGCGGAATATATTTTGCGAAGGTTACAGAAGACAGACGCGAACATGACATACAATGAACACATTTATAATGAAGCACTTGGAAAAATTGAAGATAAAGTTATGGCAATGGTAGGCAAAAAGTTAAGCGACTTTGGAATGATTGCGCCCTCAGCGAACAACCAAAAATGAACTAAGTGATGAAATTATACGTGAAATAAACTACGATATACCAGCTTTGCAGCAGCAAGTAGTCGAATTTGTACCCCGCTTGCTTCCCGAACAAAACGAGTTTTTGACAAAGTATTAGGACAAATTGAATCTGGAAATGGTGCACTTTTCTTTTTAGATGCCCCTGGAGGAACTGGAAAGACATTTTTGTTAAATTTATTATTAGCGCAAGTACGGAAAGATAAAAACATTGCTGTGGCCGTAGCTTCCTCTTTTATAGCCGCCACGCTGCTAAGCGGGTGCCACACTGCATATTCTGTTTTAAAACTCCCTCTAAATCTAGCCCAGGAAGAATCGCCGATCTGCAACTTCAGCAAAAATAGTGCACGAGGTATAACGCTACGAAAATGCAAACGTTTAGTGTGGGACGAATGTATTTAAAATTTTATAACATGCAGTCGCTAACATTTTCGATATCGATAGTAAACAAGACGACACTAGAAGGTGCGCGGACGACGGGACGCAGGCAGAAACTACTTGGGAGTAGCGCGTCGTCCGTTGCATTTTTTCACATTCTTTTAAACATTCGCTTTGATGTTTACTTACTTTAACTATAACAAAATAAATTCTATCATTTATTTTGCTAGAAAGTCTTGGAAAAAACGGGTACTGCGAATACCCAATTTGTGCGTTTTAGCAACCGCAGGGACTTAAAAATGATGATTATATTGAAGCAATATGTAAAAATTCGAAAGCTTTAACTTCAAGTGCCGATTGTACTTTGTAATAAAATGTTCCTTTTTTGTGCGTACAAATTTTCCGAGAAAAGCTAAGGCACAAAACACGACCCTTGCTAAATTTATTGCTTTTACAAGGGACACCTGAGACTTGGAACAGTTCAACGTAATAACTGGATGATCATTTCCGTAAACAAAGATCGAATAAACGACATATTCTTATATATATATATATATATATATATATATATTATCTAGCATCGGCGCATGGAATGACAATATATTATGTAAGAAATAACCCTCATACCCTACTCGGGGTGCTGGAGCACCCCACAAGGTTTATTTTTCTTATTTATTTCGTTCATTGATAATGCACGTGTATGACTTTCCGTGTATTTTACTTTGAGGTTACGCGCCACGGATTGGCCAGTGTCGCGGTGACAGCCGGCTGTTGTAGACGTGTGCACGTGTGTCGTTGGGTGCTGTAGCACCCCAGTGTAGGAACAACGTAAGTTTTTAAAAATTTTATAAAACTAATTTTCTAAGCTTACTTCTATAGTTGAACTATTTTATTATAAATGTATAGATTGCGGTTCAAACATTTGATTATAGAGGTTATGTTGTAAAATAAAACATACGTCATACAATTAAATTTTACTTTATTTTTCCTTCAAAATTCAAAAAATATTTATTGCACAACAGTATATTTTTCAATGTTTTTAGTGTTTTTACGTTATGGTTTGCAGATGGCTGTGGAAGGTGGACTGAATGATGAGGAAATACGTCTCATAGTAAATCAGGAATCAAGTGATGAGGAAGACCTAGATTTTCGTGGTTCAGTTACAGAAGATTCTGATGATGAACCTAATGGTGTATTAGAAGATTTTCGTCATATGAATGTGATTGGTCAAACAAATAATTAAGAGGATGCCTTTAGTAGCGATGATGATCTGACTTTGCAAGAGCTATCTCAGGATTTAAGAAGACAAGGATAACTAAAGGTATTGAATGTTCCAAGAGCTCTTTACGGGAAAGGAAAAAATAATAGACACAAGTGGAGTGGAGAAAAGCCAGTGAGGCGCAGAACTCAGCAGCGCAACATTATTATGCATTTATCTGGAAACAAAGGTGAAGCGAAAAGTATTACAAAGGCAAAAGAAGGTTGGGATCTCTTTCTAAAGGACGAAATACTAAAGAAAATTGCATATCATACAAATAAAAAAATTGAAAAACAACGTAAGAAATATAAAGGCTTTCAGGAGGAAGAAGATGGTGAAGAGAATATCGCCTCGTCCAGTTTACCATCATTTGTAAAACCGGTATCATTGGTAGAGTTAAAGGCTTTAATTGGGCTTTATTATCTCGCAGGAGTATTTAAAATGAACGATATAAATACCAAAGATTTGTTTGACAAATTTACTGGCGTGATGCTTTTCAGAGTCACAATGTCTCGTTGTCGATTCGATTTCTTGACAAATTGCCTTAGATTTGATGACAGAGACACACGCAAAGAACGTCGAGCTACCGATCGCTTAGCTCCGATTCGTGAAGTGTTTGATCATATTGAAAAAAAGTGTGACAAATACTACACACCAACTGATTCTTGTACTATTGACGAACAATTACTGGCTTTTAGAGGGCACGGTGTCTTTAAAATGTACATACCCTCAAAACCCGATAAGTACGGGATAAAAAATTTGATGAGCTGCGATTCTAAAACAGCTTACATGTTGAATGCCATTGTTTACGTAGGTCAAACACCCTCCCCTCAAAATATGTCAGTGCCTGAGTACTACGTTATGGAACTCTCCAAGCCATTGTATGGATCCCGTCGCAACATAACCATGGACAACTGGTTCACCAGCATACCATTAGCCAAAAATCTGATTGGAAAGGAATTGACCATGGTCGGAACGACGCGAAAAAACAAAGGAGAAATACCAGAGTCCTTTTTGGAGTTAACAAACAGAGAAAAAAATACCGCTATGTTTGCGTATGATCGACCTCTAATTCTGTTGTCCTATTGCCCAACGAAATCGACAAAAACGTCCCCTTCGGGGGGTGCGCGATAGTTGTTTGGCACTCACCGCGTACGGCGTGTGTGTGGAGAAGTTTACCTCCCCCACATTTTTTCATAATGTGGAAGAGTGAAACATTTATATTTTATATTTATATACATATTGTGAGCCCTTCCCAAGCGGGAATGGATAATTAATAATAAATTTATAATGTGAACCCCATACAAGTGGAATAGGGAGTTTTTAATTTTCTTAACCTTTCTCGAGCCCTGTCTTCGTGAACGGGGTTCACTTAGCTAATAAGGCACTACCGACGGCTTCCAATTGCTCTAGTGAATATTCATTCTTGCAAAAGACACCTACAAGAACTAAGCTACTAAACAAACAATACGTTAATTTGGGTCCTAACTAAGACGATCATGCCAAAAAATATTACAAACGCCCAATTACTAATAAATAAATATTTACCAAGATCAATACACATTTATTTATCCTGGTTACATATTGTTACGAGCTTAGGGTTAGAGACAATAAAAACCGCCGCTTGAATTAACAAAATTGACACTTTAATTACTGAACACCAATTAAAACTTAAATCACACTAATAATTAATCACACTTAATACTTTAGTTCACTTTATTTTGCTTCGAAAACTTCGCTCGTATCGCCAATTCAATACTGCCCTTGTCGCGGCCTCTAACGGCTTTATATAGGCTTTTTACACCGAAACATCTAGAATGTTCTAGCAAATACCGGTCCTGACCGACTAGATGTAGACATTTCGAGTGTGTAGTTCTCTAGAAAGCTAGTTCTTCTATTCGTTACTAGATGGCGTTAGTAGGAGAGTTCTAAAAAGATCTTACGCTCCTATTTCTGCTGCTTGATATTAGATGGCGTTAATAATCACCTGCTATATACCGCGCATAAATTATGACGCGCAACAATATATAGATATACTTTTATATATAAAGGGTAAATAATATATAAGAAGGGGCAGGTGCGTTACAACATCAATATTTATGACATGCATTTTTGAGTTTAATACACTATCATTAGTATTTTTTAAATTATGGAGCAATTATTTCCGAACGGAACACGACATTGGCGCACTGCTCCTCAGCATAGGCTCAGCGTAGGTAAGAGGGTCATACTTACCCAAAAGGACTTCTAGGAAGAAAAACCCTACCACCTAGATTATTTTTCTGTTCGAGCAATGACAAATGTGCTGTTTAATGTAGGTATAATATTCTAGAACTTGTTTTTGGCTGCGATTTCATAAGTACAACAAGAATCACCATCCCTTCAATTTCTGCACAGAGAGGATGGCTCTCTCCTTGCGTCTAACTCGAGTCTCGATGACTGGGGGAACACAGCGCCGACCATCCCGCGGTGTGAGTGCTCCATTTCGGATGTGCGGCTTACACTCCTCTCCCGGGACGTCAGCAAGTCGAGTGGTCCTGATGGAGTTCCCCCATTGTGCTAAAGACGTGTGCTGTGGATTTGGCACCAGTTTTAACGCGTCTTTTCTGGTACTACATTTGATATTTTCCATAACTGCTATTGTTTTTAATGTTTAATATTTACTAAAAAGACGCTATTTCCCATCTACAATGTCAATCATCACGATGTGGAGAGGTAGAATGGACCGTGATTTGTGGAATTCATTGGGGGAGGCCTCTGTTCAGCAGTGGACTTGTGAAGAGCTGTAATGATGATTATGATGATGGTAGCTTTTTGCACAGTAAGTGAATCCGCTCAACATGAGGCTGCGGCTACCTGGGCATATTTTATAACAAACATTGTGTATGTGACGGGGATTTTTACTCGAATGGATACAATACACTTTATTTCCGATAGACAAGCCAGCCAATATCGAAATCGTTTTATCTCGTATATTATCAGCCAACTGTACCATGATTTTCTGCAACTGATCTGTAACCTGAAACTACATAGACACTTTACACGTCGGAGCGGCGGAAGACGTTGTGGCGGCGCTGTCGTCGCGCCTCAAGCTAAATATACCGAAGCCTAAATCACGCTATCAACATTCCGAATCATAAACAGCATATATAGAACATCTCCGAACTATCACACGGAGTGCTGGCCGCTCCCCGGGCAGAACACCTTGCCCGGCGGGAGATCTCCCCTTTTCCTTCCCGGCCACAGTGATGTTGCGGCGCTGTCGTCGCGCCACGAGGGAAATACACCGAAGCCTAAATCACGCTATCAACATTCCGAATCATAAACAGCATATATAGAACATCTCCGAACTAACACACGGAGTGTGGGCCGTTCCCCGGGCAGAACACCTTGCCCGGCGGGAGATCTCCCCTTTTCCTCCCACTGCCACAGTGGTGACCCCGACGTGATCTGAACACGCAACCAAATAACCTTCGGAAACTTCAAGCTTTATCATCGTCATAGAATACCCCACCCATTCGCTCCCGAGCAGATATCGTCTGCAGTCTTCATATCCTGCAAACCATCTAGCTTCATAAGGTTCATCGCAGCACTGGAATAATAATGCTTCCTGTTCCTTCAAGCTACACTCTGCGCTACAGTGTTCGGCACGGCTCTGAGCCTTACTGCTCGCCTCTGCTTCACGGCACTCTCGCAGATTACTTGCCTTCTTCTCGACTCACCGCAGACTACAAGGCAATCTCCTGGCACTTGCACATTCGTCGACAACTCGACTGCACTATCGACCTCCGGTCTGAGCAGGAGGGTGATGTGGCGGCACTGTCGTCGCGCCACAAGCGAAATACACCGAAGCCTAAATCACGCTATCTACATTCCGATTCATATTCAGCATATATAGAACATCTCCGAACTATCACACGGAATGCTGGCCGCTCCCCGGGCAGAACACCTTGCCCGGCGGGAGATCTCCCCTTTTCCTTCACGGCCACAATGTATTTTGTGCTGTTCTCAAACCAACAGCAGATCAACAGTGACGTGGACTAAGAAGGGCTTTCTTTCTGAATTAAATTTTTGTGTACACAGCTTTGTTAGTAATTTTGCTATTTAACAATACCGATCGATATTTGAATGGTGAATCTCACCATCATCCTTCACAGTTAGCTACCGTGGGTAAATCTTTGTTTCAGAGAGCACGAGGGATCTGTCACAGAAAACATCTGGCTGCCGAGCTTAGCACGTCAAAGAAGTATTGCAAGACAACAAGCTTCGGGTCCCGCGCCTACGTCACAGTGAACGAGTGAAGCCGGCCACAGTCGAGCGCGCGCCTGCTCTACTACCATATGTTAGAGGAGTCACGGACAAGATCGGCTACATCTTGAAGCGAGCGTCCATTAAGACATACTACAAGCCGCTGAAGAAGATTAGTCAATTTTTACCATCCATCAAATGTAATATTCCTCTACAAGATGCAGGTGTGTCCAAGCTAGATTGTGAATGTGGTCTCTCTTACATAGGTCAAACAAAGAGATCTATAAAAACCCGCGTGAAGGAACATATAGCTGATGTGAAGCACCGACGCTCCGGGAAGTCTGCAGTCTGCGAACATGTTCAAGATCGTCCCCACCATTACATTAGATTTGATAAACCACAAATTCTCGCAAAAGTACACCGATTCCTACCAAGGATGATACGCGAGGCTACTGAAATTAAAAAAAACATCCAAATTTCAATAGAGAAGATGGTTGGGTGCTACCATCTGCTTGGGATCCTATAATTAACAAAATTAAACCCAAACCCAAGCATACCACTGCAAGACTTCATGATACTATAAGCTCGTTTTTCACAAATCGGACCAAAAATTAATATTAAAAAACTGAAGGTAGCCGGACTAACTATGACATTGGGACGTCAAACATCTCAGTCCCCCCGTGACCATGGGCGCTGTAAAGCACCCAAAACGTCGGGATAATAATAAAAATAAATTA